TCCATACACATTTCCTATGCTACTTTCGTCTTCACCAGTTCTACCCAGATTTCACTGGTGTGCTAAGCATAGATTTTGTGAAGTGGAATCTCTTGAACCAAATTTGAATTCATTCAATATGATTACTTTCATGTTGAACAATATGAGATAGCTGCAGATGCACCACTGAATAAAAAATATTCAATTCTGTCAGTTCTTCAGCTGTCTAATTTTGAACTATTTTGTTCTTCATTAATAAGTTTGTAATGACCATTACAAACTAAACAAAGATTCCATTATTTGAAAACAATGGGATCTTTGTTTAGTTTTAATAACTGTTGCTGGTATTAGACAAAATGTTGTTGATTGATTTGATTCTCAAAATATAGCAGATTAACAATTTGGAAAATTTCAGCAATGCAATTGGTTTTGTTTTCTAGTGGGTATAACTTACTTAACCTGTCTTCTACAACAGAGGAGGAAGAAGATCCAACCATTTTTACTTTTCTGAAAACTCTATAGATGTTAATGATTTTTACAATAAATTGTGAAATTTTTAAAAAGATTAATGAATGCTTTATTGTATTAGTGTAATATTGTTGGGTGATATTAAATGACAATGACTACATTCACTGCAGAACAATGAAAATTAGTAGTTTCACTCTTTATTAGGATGATATTGCAGATGTAGTGTACATTTAATTAAGTGTAGTTTCCTTTTGGTTATGGAATGCAGATCTGTTTTTTGTCGCAAATTCTTTCTAGTTTTACAGTTTTTCCACATGTTTTCTTTCACCATTTATGATCTTTTTCAAAGCAGCTCTATAGGACTTAAATCACTTTAGCATGCAGCAGAGTTCTTATTTGAACAATAAACGCCATTTTAAAAAGTTCTTAGATCTTCTGTTACTTCATAAATACCAATGTATAAAATGTTATGCAGTTGTGATGCCTACCTGCTAATTAGATGCAGATTTTCTCAAACCTGTTTTAAAATCTGTTTTATTTGTTTCAACTTGCTTAGTGTTTGGACTATATAAAGCTCTTGCAAAACCAATTATGCTTATGAGCAGATGTTAAATTTACTGCAAGATATTTTGTTCAATATTTAATATTTTAATTACTTGTGAAGAAATTAGCAAATTAGTACTTGCTGTATAATAACTGGATAGTCCTTTATAGATATTTTCATCCTTTTTAAAAAATATGTGTGCAAATTGCTCAAGAAATAGATTGCTTATGAGTTTAGATGGTGAAATCTTACTTATATGGTGTCAATAGTTAGGGATGCTAAGTGATGCCAAGCATCTGTGTGCTCTACAAGTTAGACACAATAATGTTCTCCATCAATGAATCATTCCCAATCACCATGCTACTTTTATAGCTAAATAGTTTGGCATTTGATTTTAACAATAATAGTTGGGAATTTTTTAATACTAAATAAACATTCATCCAGAATTTTTGTAACTTAAATCAAGGCAAACATCCCCAGTGATTTCATTTCCTCTGCATTGGACTTGCCTAGATCAGATCATAAGCCTGATCAGTTTCTTTGCTTTTTCTTAAATTTATTTATTTGTCAAATTTATTTAGAATTCTTTTATTGGCCAAGTGTGATTAGACACACAAGGAATTTGTCTTGGTGCATATGCTCTCAGTGTATATAAAAGAAAAGATACATTTGTCAAGAATCATAAGGTACAACACTTAATGATAGTCATAGGGTACAAATAAGCAATCGAATCATATTAGGAAACAGTCAATATAAATTGTAAGGATACCAGCAATGACGTTACAGTCATAAGTGGGAGGAGATGGGTGATAGGAACGATGAGAATATTAATAGTAGTGCAGATTTAGTAACTAGTTTGACAGTGTTGAGGGAATTATTTGTTTAGCAGAGTGATGGCGTTCGGGGAAAAACTGTTCTTGTGTCTAGTTGTTCTGGTGTGCAGTGCTCTGTAGCATCGTTTTGAGGGTAGGAGTTGAAACAGTTTATGTCCAGGATGCGAGGGGTCTGTAAATATTTTCACAGCCCTCTTTTTGACTGGTGCAGTATACAGGTCCTCAATGGAAGACAGGTTGGTAGTAATTGTTTTTTCTGCAGTTCTAATTATCCTCTGAAGTCTGTGTCTGTCTTGTTGGGTTGCAGAACCGAAACCAGACAGTTATAGAGGTGCAGATTTACCACCTATTTCACTGTAGGGCTACTCTATTGTTTTTACAACAATAAAAAGAAAGAAATGAAGACAGTGTAAACAAAACCGAAGTAAAATAATAGGACAATAAACAACACTGAAAAAGAAAATGAGAAATATAATATGATAACAAATATAGGTGGAGAGCAGAAAGTAAGGGGGGAAGATGGAATCTGCCATCAATCTAACTGCCATCTCCAGTGTTGAACTCCCCCATTTGAAATTGTTTTAATTAATCTGACCATTTTTTGCAGTATGTGCCCAGAACTGAACACAATGCTGGTAGTGATGTTTGATCAATGCAACACAACTTCGTATACTTTTGACCACACATAATAATTAGGATGTAACGGGATACTTAGTTAAATACTTTAAATCAATTTATCTTTAATGAGATAAATATGTCTCATTATCAGATGAGATCAGGCTAATCTAACCAGGTGAGACTTGGTTATCCATCCATCCATCCATCCATCCATCCATCCAATTTACATAGCTATCACAACAAGTTATTGTACAACGAACTGAGTTAAAATAAAGTAACTCGTGGTCAATAGTGCCAAAAAAGCGGCTCCCAGATCGAAAATTGGAACATAGGGAACGGAGCGCTGTCCCCTTGGTTCCTGACACGCTGACGTCACCGCCAGAAGCTAAAATACACAGTGGCTGAGCAGATAACTCAAGTCACGGGGATAACCAAGAAAGCAGGTCCCTTGGGCCTCAGGCCCAGGTCTTCAGTGCCTTACAAAAGACCAGCAGGGTCAAGGTCATCCTGCTCTCCATAAGTAAAATGTTCCACAAGTTGGGTAACACAGCAGAAAGGGCACATCTTCTAGGCCCCACCAAGCAACATTCTTTGGTTGGTGGGACCTGAAGCATGCCCATCCTTCCTGACTGTATCAGATGGGTAAACAACCATGCTGACTGGCTAATTAATCTGATTAATCTGAAAATTTATTTAGAGCTTTGAATTCAGTTTCCAAAAGATGCTTTAGAATGAATATGGGAATATGGACTTAGCAACTGTTTGCAACACTCTGAAGCAACAATGTTTTTTCCCTGGGATTGCATGGATGTTCTCTGTACCTTTATGTGATCCCAGGAAAGATTATGACTGCTTTCAGGAATTGCAAACCAATGCTACATTCGTATTCCCAAACATTTTGAAGCACTGCTGAGTGACCAATTCTGAAGTGCTACAATTCTGAAGTTCCAAATAGTTTTCAAGCAGGTGTGTATATGAACTCTGTTTTGAACCCTAAATTGCAAAACCTGGACTTGTGTTGTTTTACCAAAATATTTCAGATGAGCTGTGATTTGACAGAATCAAAACTTGGTTTATTCTAGCGTTTAGTCAAAACAAAACCTGGTTTATCTTAGAGTGATTTTAAATAGCAAGTAGGTGAAAACTGGTGCACAACATCCTCGCCTCTTATATAGTTTACATACTGGGGTATCAACCCTTCATCTTACCAATACCTTAGTTGCAGCTGATGTTTGACTCACTGCCCCCTTCTCAATTTTTCCATTTCTTTCTTTCCTCTGCTATCTATCTCAGATGTAGCTGATGTTCAGGCATTGTCCCTTCAAACCCATATTCCTGCAAATGTCCATTGCAGCATTTTGTTTTTTCTTGTAAGATAAGGAAACAGTTCCCCTCTTCCAATTGCTTGGCACATCTTTATATGATTTCTGAGTGGTATTAAGGAAATATTTTACTAAACTTATCAGCTGAAACCTTTATATTGTCCTTTAAAGGTAAGCTTGAGTTTGCTCAAAGTAAATATAGATTCCCTGACCATATTTCTATAAATCCCATACTTTTTTCCGTTCTTTGAATTGCCTGATGAAAAGCACATCCTCCTATTAGAGCAAAACAGGAGCTGAGTTAGTTTTTCGTTTTTGTTAGCTATTAGCATTTTATTCCATTTAATGAGAAGCTGGTATATTGATTCCTTTCTTTTTCCTTTATATATTTCAAAACACCTTTTTTTTTTTTGTGAAGTTCTTAGTATCTCATGTGATCCAGTCTAGGAAACTAGAAAAAGTTGTTCTTAAAAGAAGACAAGTTATCATCAGTAACCTGACTAGGGGAAAACTGCAGAGGGGAGTATTGTCCCAAACTAAATGCAGTTCTCCTATTTTTGTGTATTTACTGGATATACCATATAATTCAAGATTAGCTTTTACTTTTCCAGACAGGATTCAGAAGGAGTATAGATACAGTACTGTAAAATGAAAAAAAGAGGATGAGAACTTTTCCCATTATTAACTAAGGCAGGGATTTTCAAACATTTTCAAGCTGCCGAATCCCTTAGTTTTAAAATGAAAATTCTCAGAAATTCTGTTCAAAGGTAAAGCTTGGGTGATAGAAAATGGGCTATGTTTAAAAGTTTCTTTTGGGAGGGGGGGCTTCATCTCTGACAGAACCATAGGGACCTGGTTTGAAAAATCCTGAATTAAGGATATCATCAAAATATTTTTTGTGCTTGATTGCTTTTTTTATTCTTTTATGAAATAGTTCATGTGGCTCATTCTGGAGCTTTCTTTGGTATGAGAATCCGCTATGGCTTCCTATTCTTGTTTCTCCATATTTCTGAAGGAAATGATGAATCCCCACTTTTGATATACTTGGTCCCTCATGCTTGATAATTAATCTCTTTTAGGTTTCACATTCTTAATTTTATCTGCATCTTTTAAAAAAATACATATTTCTGAACAAACTAAGTTGAAGAATAAATGAATATCAGTATTAAAATTATTGTAATTATCTTTGGTCGTTGTCCCTTTACATGGTTTTTGTTGATTTTTTTCTAATTGTAGATCACATTCCAGACCCCAACAACGATCATACAGTCGCAGCAGTGAAAGAACTAGTCACAGGAGAACCCGTAGTGGGTCTCGTGAGAAAGAAAGACGTAAAGGCAGAGATAAAGAGAAAGCAAGGGAGAAGGAAAGATCCAGAGGAAAAGAGAAAGAGCAGCATTACAACAAAAGTGGGTAGGTAACATGGGAAACATGTTAAAAAAAGCTATTTTGAATATTGTTATATAATATTTCATTTTATGGGCTTTTCATAGAAATTTAATTGGCTCTTGTAAGAAAATGGATGTGGAACTGCATGGTTGCCCTTTGATTTAATTCAGCAGTGCTTTTTTAATGTTCTTACTGAGGCTTTTCTATTCCTCTTCCTGCCTCACAGGAGTGGAGGCCCCTTGCAAATGGATATGATAAGGAGCTTGCAGACAGAGGGGGAACTGGTGTAAATGGAAGACCACCTTTTAGGCCAAATCCTTATCTTTAAATAGAAAATACAAAATGCAAAGTGGAAATATGTTAATATATAAAATAAAAGCAGATGAAACAATAGTTTATTTACCAATAAAATAGCTCTATAAACCAAAGGAATTGCAAAATAAAATTATATAGCATCCATCCCCAAAGGCATAGAAACAGAACAGATTTTGACTGGTATATAATAGCAAGCAATGAGAACAGAAACTGCTCTCTTCTCAGTTTCTTCCAAGTGAAAACATCTGGAGTAGTGTCCCACTTTTAAAACTCCCAAAAGACCCCCAAAAAGTTTTTATTTGTAAGGGTTACATTTGTTGATATTTTCCCATAATATAAATTAAAATGGACATATTTGTAAAATGTTTTCTGAGTTGTGTAAAAATATTTACTCCATTAGATATTATGAAATGTTTTTCATGAAAAACTATATCTTTATGAAAGAAAAACTAATAAGATGAAAAGATTTTCAATTTTTTGTAAATATTTTCAAAATTTAGCAAATATTTTTTTATTTTGTGGACCCCTAAAGGGAACTTTCTAAAAGAAACACTGATCTAGAGGAATACCTTCAAAGAACATCCTAGCTGATTTCAAATGAAAGCCTGTGTCAGAGAAATAGTACCTTTTCTATGGGTTTTTAAAATTTTATTTCTTCATTCGATTGATTATTGGGCCTCCCTCCCAATTTCATTGCTTTAGATAAGCCAGGTTTTATTTTATTTTATATAGCTGTCCATCGCAATCTGGGCAGTGAACAATTCTAAAACAATTAAAAACAGTATAAAATAAATATATGTAGCAGGCTGAGAAAATTATCATAAGTACATATGAATTTTCTTAGTGATTTCAGTAGAAACATGTTTACAGTATAAAAAAAAAAGATTCAAACAATTATGAATATGAGCTATAGAAAAACATCTTCCAGGAAGCATGGCAAACTCAGGACAGCTCTGCAGGAGTGAGGAGCTAATAACCATGGTGGAAAGAGGAGTTCATGAATGAATTGGCTCCCCCAAATCCTCTCTGGATTAAGGAGAGGATCTGGGATCACCCAGAGTACATCATATAGGTCAGTGGTGAAATCCTCCGCGGTTTGCTGCCAGCACATGCACGGCGCGTGCCAAATGCATGCTGCATGCGAATGCACAGTGTACACCAAATGCATGCTGCACACATGCGCAGTGTGCACTAAATGCACACTTTGCACAGAAAAATGATACTTAACAAGATAAGTAGAACAACGAGGGGGAAACAACTGTGCTGCGCTATTTATATTCGCTAGAAAGCAGGATTTCCTGCTTTCTAGCGAATATAAATCACACAGCAAAGCTGATCGTCGGAAATACTGGTCTGGACCAACCGGTAGCTTTTTTTTACTACTGGTTCACCGAACCAGTATCTTTTATCACTACTGGTTTGCCTGAACCGGTGCGAACTGGTAGGATTTCACCACTGATATAGGTTCTCCCCCTTAAAGCAGCATCTTTGATGGGTTTTATAGCTTTGTGAGTTGGGAGAGCCACCTTTGCCCAAGCAATAGTTTGGCACCTTCAAAAGAGCCACTGAGTTTGCCGACTTTCTTTCTTATTCACTTTCACTGGATATCGTTTGTAAATTGGTTTTGCGTATGAAGAATCTTCAGAAGGACAGGTTTTATTACACTGGATTATTTTTTTTCAATCCTTAACAAAAGAGGTTTCTGTTCTGTCCCCGTACCATGCACACACCCAACCAGCCAGCCGAGGGTTAAATAAACTCTTCAAACACACAACGTCAGTGATAAGGAACTTGGCAGCAACTCCGTGGCTGCCTGCCAAGAGCTTTTACTCCGATAACACAGACAAAAATACACCCAGTTTGAATAGTCCAGTTTGTAATTAAATCCACGGCAAATAGGTGTTATGTCCGAAGGTGCAAGTGCCTCGCCAGAGATTAGCTTTGTCCGTCACAGAATCCGAATGGCCACCACACTCCCTTTTATAGCCTGTGGGGTGTGGTCCAGTGACTCAGCTTAATCTCTGGCAAACCTCCTTTTCTGCTGCTCACGCTTGTCTCTCCGATGCTGGCGTGGGTCCAACCACAATGTTTCTTCGTCACTATCCGACGGCTCGGAAATACCTGGCTCCTGGCCAATCTCTTCTCCTTCAGGAGACACCTGAGGCATTGCCAGAGAGGAGGGTCCTGGAGAGGGAGGCCTGGCCGTCTCCTCTCCTTCATGTTCGGAGCCTTCTTCCTCCGATAAGATAGGCTCGGAGGACGGAGCCACAACAGTTTCGTGTAAATTGAAGAACATAACCCGCTTTATTTGAAAATAATTAGCAAAAGGGTGATTAGAATGTTGATTTTGGAAAACTTTTAAACAGACTAAGGAAGGGGTGTCAAGTCCATATCATCACGGTGGTGTCACATGACATATTGCGACTTTTTCCCCCTTCACCAAACCAGGCCTGGGTGTGGCCATCATGTGACACATCCAGCCATGGGCCATGAGTTTGACAGCCCCGGACTAAGGGATTCACTAGAAGCAAGATAGTGAAATAATTATAAGAATATATTGTGGCTTGTTTAAAATTTTATTAAAATATATGAGGCTTTTGAGTTTAAGTTAAATCTTTTCCTGGGAAATTGTGGATTATAGAGAAAAATGTGGTGAGACTTTCAAGGCTAATTATTAGAAGCAACTAGAAAGATTATAATTAAAGGAGAAGACCCACTAATAGAGAACAGAGTAAAGTATTTTAACTCTGGAAGGATTCAAGGATTTTTGGCAACAGTGTACTCAGAACTTTCTGTTTCTGTAAAAAGGGACTCAGAAGAGGAAAAAACTGAGAATCAGGCTGTTTTAGATATGTATTTAAAATTGTACAGGCTACAAGAATAATATTGACAAAGATGTTATATGGATTTACAAATGAAACCAGTTGCTGTTTTAATAGTTAAAAGGGATACACAAATAATAAATCAGAAAAATGACTTGGTAGTATGGATTTCAATTTGCTGGATTAAGATTGAATAACGAAGCTTCATTGTTGGTTAATAAATAAAAGATGAAATATGACACAAAGAGATTTTAGGTTAAAATATTAGAGAAAGTGATAAATTATGGAAATTGTACTTATCTTGATGAATGGAGAAGTCATTACTTATTTTTTTTCTTTTTTAACAATTTTTTTCTTCCCCTCTTTTCTTTCTCCTTGCACTTTTTTATTTTTTATTTTTATTTTTCATATTTTTTATTAGTTTGTATTAGTTTTTTAATCTTTAAATTTCAATAAAAATATTATTTAAATTAAGGGGAAAACTTCCTCGGGATAATGTGAGCTGTAGAAAGAAAAAAACCTCACAAGCCATTTAGGTTTTTAAAACTAATAACCAGGACTTTGTAATTCAGCCAGAAGGAAATTGGCAGCCAGTGTGCTTTTAAGCACAGTCATAATTTGGCTCTTTTGAGTTTTTCCAGAAACTAACCTGGCCGCTGAGTTTTGTATCATGAAAAGTTTTGTGACTTGATGCAAAGGCATATAGAGTTTGTTATAGCAATCCTTCCTAGAGGTTACTAGCATTTTAAAGGTTGTTTTCGTCTAGAAAGGGACAGGGTATATCAATTAAAGTTAGTCATAGCTAAAGTCTCAATGTTTAAAACCTGAGGGAAAAAAAATCTTCCAACTTCATATCTGCACTTTCTGGTGAATGTGACCTCATTTGGATTTTTTTTTGAAAACCTACTACTTCTTTAAACTATTAGTCCCCACTTTATCTGCTTTGATTTACCCTTCCTCATTAAGTTATTATTGACTGGAGGAAAGTATTATGAATAACCATTATATACAATTGAATTGTATTGTTAGAAAAAGAAAATGCTAATACTTTATTATATTGTCCAATTCTAATGGACAACGGGTGGCATATAGAACCAAAAAATCCATAGAAGTATTAAACCAGACAGAAAACCTGGACTAAATCTAAAAAGCAATGCAAGTCAAAACAAAATAGCCCCCTTCTCTAATACGTGATTTGGATGTTATTAGCAGACTGATAAATATTGAAAGAATTGACAGATTGATTGGGACAGAGTAGATTGGTACTGTAGCACTGATGATGTTACCTTGTTGGGTAATGAAATGTCTGCAAGAAAACGTCTAAGCTCAGTGAACATCAAGGACCTCTTAGATTAGGAAAGTACACCATTTCAAGGAGCATTTGTCTTAAAATGACATGAGTAGAAATCTTCCCAAGATTCAGAAACCTCTCATGTAAAAAATGATCAATGGATACAGAATTTAGATGTTCTAATAATTACAGGAGTGTCAAAATCAAGGCCCGGGGGCTGGATCCGGCCTGCAGGGTGCTTAGATCTGGCCCACGGGGCTGCCCTAGAAATAGCGAAGGACCGGACCACAGTGCCTTTGGAGGGCGTCACAGCTAAAAATGGAGTTCATGGGGGCCACATGCAGCCCTCCCAAGTTCTGTTTTCGGTGGCAGAGAGTTGCAGGAGGCCGTTGCAGCTGAAAACGGAGTCCATTTTTTCTGGTAGAGCACTTGGGCCACCACAGAGCCCCTGACAAGTGATGTTGAGCTGGCCACGCCCATCCTGACCTTGCGCCCCCATCCCCCCGAGGTCAAACACGGCCCTCAATGAAATCGAGTTTGACACCCCTGTTGTAATAGATAGGCAGCAATAGGCAACAGTGGAAATTACTTTGAAA